CCGGCTGTGAGCAGCTCCGGCTGCAAGGGGCCTCCCCAGAAAGGGAGATCGCTGTGGTATGGCCATGGGGGGGGGGGCCCCCTTCCCCACACACCCCCTGCGCAGGCAACGCTGCCATGTTTGGCATGCCCAGCAGGGCCCCGTGCGGCAGCACAGTGCGTACCCCCCAATCCTGCAGCCCATCGCCAGAGGATGAGACTCTGCCCGCTAGTAGAACAGAGAAGGTTTATTGCTTCTCCAGGACGCAGCGCAGCACAGACGTGATGTGGTTACAGGAGTCAGGGGCTGGCAGCCTCAGACCCCTTGGGGCAGGGGCATGTTTGGCATGCCCAGCAGGGCCCCGTGCGGCAGCACAGTGCGTACCCCCCAATCCTGCAGCCCATCGCCAGAGGATGAGACTCTGCCCGCTAGTAGAACAGAGAAGGTTTATTGCTTCTCCAGGACGCAGCGCAGCACAGACGTGATGTGGTTACAGGAGTCAGGGGCTGGCAGCCTCAGACCCCTTGGGGCAGGGGGGCACAGGCCCCCCCCCGACTCTCAGCACTGTCTGTTCTCATGGTTTTCCAGCCAAAAACTGCCCAGGCCCTGCCCCCCATCGTTCGTCTCCACCTCCCTCCCTTTGTCTCTCCCCCTGGGAAGAGCCTTATCTGCTCAGACTGGGACTAGGCCTGAGGGCCACTCCACAGGTGGGAGAGTCGGTGGGAATCGCACAGCACAGGGCACCCCCCAGTTACAGAGCAGACAGCCCCCCACTATGTCACACCCTGTACACTGAGCACTTGGACCGGCCCCAAGAGAGATTCAGATGCCCTGCAGTGGATCAGAGCACCCATCACCTGTTTCTAGGGGCAGTGCACCTCCACACAGCGGGGAAAATTCGAGGGAGCAGTGAGCCTCCGGGCAGCTCTGCCCCTTGCTGCAGAGCAACGTACGCGGTGTGGGGAAAAGCCAGCCCCCGCTCCCGAGACAGCACGGGAGTCAACAGCACTAGGCCGATGGTAGAATCCTGCCGGCAACCTCGCGCCCTTGGCAGGCGGATGAGTTCACAGGGAGGGACACAGCCCTCCGGGGCCTGGGCTGAGCAGGGACAGCGGCCCCGCGGGCAGGGCAATGTTTTCACTGCAGCCATACCCCCAGGAAGGCGAGTTTAACACCACGCACCCCAAGCTCTGGCAGCTGCATGGGCACAGCCTGCCCACAGGCTTACCCGGCCCGGGCCCACCTGCAGTCCTCGTGCTGGGATACAGCAGTCAGAGCAAAGGGCACGCTCCAAGGCAAATTCAATCCATTGTGGGAAGGGGCCATTGCTAGGGGGGGCTGGTCTGAAGCCAGACTTACCGGGCGAGCACAGTCCCAGCAACGGGCATCGTGAGGAGAGCAGCCCCCCGCCAGCCTGAGGCAGGAACGTACATCGACTTACTGCAGCTTGCTGCGGAGTTTGAATTTTCACCGGCGCCAAGAACTCCCACAAAAGCCCCCTCCTCCCCCCCCCCCCCTGGCTGCCTCTATTAGAGCAGCAAGGCAGGGGAGCGCTAGTGTCTCTTTAATGCTTGTTCAATACATGTGCCAAGCCATAACATCATGTGTGCAACATCGTGGCATGAGTGTCGGTGCCTAAACCAGCAACCACCCCCTAGGCCAGGGCGCAAAGGCACAAGGGGGTGGGAAAACCCACTTCACCCCTCCCCCCGCCCCATTCTGAGCCATGAGAAAGTGGGGCAACCTCACTTTAAAAACAGCTTCTAGCTAAGAATATATAAAGCACTAAAGGTGAAACATTCCACAGCCTCCCCCCAACCACAAATCCCCAAGACGCACAGTACAATACAATCAACAGTAAAAAGGCCTCGAGCCCAGCCAGGCGAGTGCCCAGAGCAGGGTGAAACCTTCCCCGGTGGATACGAGGTGGGGATGAAAGTTGCAGGAGGGTCTCTGCCAAGCCCCTCGCCCGGGGAGGCTCTTGTGCCTCAGTGGCAATCAGATAAATAAGAAATGTGTGTGGGAACAGCTTGGGGGGGAGGGAGTTTCCTTCCTTCATGTGTTTTTTTAAAAAAAAGTTACAAACAACCCCCCCCCCCCCGAACACAAGGTAAGTTGCAATCTTACCCAACAGGTTAGTGTCACGTCCTCTCCCCAGACTTGTTCTTCAAGAAGAGTTAGAAGCAGAAACGCTGGAATGTGGCCGGCGAGTCGGCCGGGCTGGGCCCCCACCTGGGTCCGGTGGCAGGGTGTGCAGAAGAGGGACGACAGACTTTAGGAGTCAGTTTTGACAGAGGGATTGGAGGAGGGGGTGGGATGATGGTTACCCAACAGGTTAGTGTCACGTCCTCTCCCCAGACTTGTTCTTCAAGAAGAGTTAGAAGCAGAAACGCTGGAATGTGGCCGGCGAGTCGGCCGGGCTGGGCCCCCACCTGGGTCCGGTGGCAGGGTGTGCAGAAGAGGGACGACAGACTTTAGGAGTCAGTTTTGACAGAGGGATTGGAGGAGGGGGTGGGATGATGGGACTGCGACCTCTGCTTCCTCCTCCAGCCCTCGCTGCTCCCAGGGAGCCCGTGGCCAATGGAAACAGCCTGCCACGCTTGACCAC